AAAAAAAAAAAAACTAATAATCAGGTTAAAAAAAAACTAATAATCAAGTTTAAAAAATAAAAAATGTATTTTATGAATATACTAAAATATAGTCGTTAGATGCGCACCAACCAGAGAACAACACGTACCACAAAATAAAGGGCCATTAGTTGAATAGCCCACAACTTCGGATGCCAACCTGAAATTAGGCAGTGGGGTCAATTTCTAATTAATTATTTCTGCATCAATCAATTTCCTAATATAAATTGACGTTAGTCCAAGGAAAAAAAAAAATATTAAAAAATAAAATAAAATAAAAAATTTCTTGAAAGGCCAACAAAGACAGCCAAATCCACACTTCTTGATCACTTCTTCTATCCACATATAGAAAAGGCCATATGCTCCTCCACCCAATTGATTTCAATGCTATGATTATATGAATGCATTTGATGCCAACACACTTCATTTTCAGGCTCTATTATCACAAACCACATCAAATTACCATAAGGATTTAATACCTAGTCACCATCAGCCCACATGTTCAAGGCCAAATAGGACATATTTACATCACCAGAGTTGAAAAGAGAGGACATTATGTACATAGAATGTACTTACTTACACTACAAACCAATCAATAATACATCAAGAGTTTTCGCCAAGCCATGGCCCGGACGAGCCTAATGCTGATAAAACCCGTCTTGCCAACTTTCTCACGGTTGGAAAGAGTTCAGCCCTTCAAGCGATATCTTCATGCCTTTGGGAATTCTAAGCTAGAAATTGATGATCGATTCAAGAATGGCGAATGTAGCAGCAATTAGCATAGCCAAGTTATATGGCAATATCAAAAATTCTGGAGAGAGGAAAGCCACTGCTCCATGTACTTTGTGCCATCTGCCGAACAAAAATTACGAAATTCAGGAACCGACATCCTCCAAAAAAATGGCCAAAAGGATAAACATAGAAGGAGCAAAATAAATCACAGCAGATCATGGCATTATTAAACTCTTGACAAAGGCACATCATTATCACATAAAAAGAGGAAGATAAAGTTTCAACAGCATAAACCAGTTATGACCATTTTTCTCGATCACCAATAGCATATGCTTCACAGGATGACACCAGAAGAACAAGAAAAGTTATAAGGTTTTAACCAGATAACATCATCTCATTCAAAATAATTAGCACGATTCCATCTATATACCCAAATTTCATCAATCAACTCATATCAAAATCATCTCGAGACACCCAATTTCATCGAAAATCCCCTTACCAGCAGAATAACCAACTGGGAAATTCTTCACGGCATTCAAGAATGGATTAGACGTTATCTCCTCATTCGCCTCATTTACTCCTCTGAAGTCGTGCCTATAGCAAGGGACCAACACAGCAAAGCTATCGTCCATGTCATCATCACTCTGGAACTCGGGCGCGTGAGGCTCGAGCCACCCTATGGACCAGTCCGAGTCATCCGATTCAGACCCTGATAGGCAAACGCCGTCAGATGGCACCAAAACCACATCATACTCTTTATCCACCCTCCTCCCTCTCGCTTCCCTACTTTTCCATTTCCTTTTGACTTTACCAGCTGAGCTCGGCATTCTTTTGTCTACCCCTTTCACCGAATAGAATTTCAACTTTTCGGACCCATTTGATCCTAATCCCCAATCGCCTAAAGAATTTCTTGAATTTATGACGGACCCATTTGAGACTTGCTCCTTTTCCTTCCCTCCCAACCACAACCATGAAAGCCTAGTGAAAGAAAGAGCCATGCTTTGTTACTCTCTCACTCCGTTTCTTCCTTTTGTCTTATCCGTTATCCGTTTCTATAGAGCACGAGCTCCATACCATACACAATAAGAGGTTAAAGGCAGAGATACAGAGAATTGAGCTCCAACAGAACCGGAAACTAACAGAGTACTTTAGTGTAAAATATTCAACGAATCCAATCTTAACACCAAAAAGGAGTACAGAACAACAACCAAGAACCCAACTAATGAAAGAGGGAAAGAAAGTCAAAAAAGCTTGTGGATATGAATTCACGAAAGTGGCATTAAAATTGTTTGACAAATGCTCAATTCATATTAAACTTTGAAAGATTTTCGATCAAAGAATACCCAAACAATTAAGCCATTACAAGTTCAAGAACATGCCATTAATTTGACGGGACATCTTGATCAACCACTAGACAGACACAAGACAGGAAGTATAACAATAAAAACCTCAGATTAAAAAGAAATCAGACGATGTCTGAAGACGATAACCGGGAAAACATCATTCTGTCCCTTCCACCATTAACCCACCAAGACTGCGGCTTTTTACAAAGTTTTTGCACAAAAACAAACGCTGAAACAACCCGAAAACCCTAGAATTTATCGGTAATTTCAAGAAAAAAAGACGGAGAAATCACCAAAAACCGGAAAATTCTAAAAGAATAAATGGGATATTAAAGAATGATCAGGAGGATCAAAGGAAGAATCCAAAGGTAAAGAAGTTTTCAGCTATCTCTCAAAGAACTCCATTTTTTTATTGAGTTCGGAGAACCTCTCTCTCTCTCTCTATGGTATAAATCCCACACGCATGAACATTCACAGTTTCTTTAATCAATCAACTGCAAAAGTCTGATTGGTGTGCCTGATATATAATAAACAATTTATTATAATTTGCCTTGAATTGAACTAATGCCTCCTAACTTTTCTTATTTAGAAAACCGGACTTATTGTTTGGATATTTATAAATTGGCCAACAAGTAACAACCGAGAGCGTTTGGATACTTTTTGTTTTCGCTTGAATTTGTCACTCTTCTAAAAATCGGCTTATGCGGCTATCTAGGCGGTGCCCGAGTACCTCTGATTTACACAAATCGACAGAAAAAAATCGGTCAGGCGGTTAGGTGGCGCCTAGGCGGACCTAGGCGCTCCTACATGGGTTCGGCGGCAATTATTTAGTTTTTTTTTTAAAATTTTTTTAAAAATTAATTATAATATTTTATTCTCATGTTTTCTTTAAAATATATTAATTTTATTATTTGAATTTAGGTGTGTCGATTTATTATAAGTTGGAATAATTTTATTTTGTAGGTAGTTAAAATAAATAAAAAATTAGGTATTAATATTGATTTCTAGGTCCCGACTAGGTGCCGCCTAGGCGCTCTAGGCGCTGGTCGAACGTCTAGCGGGCGCCCAGCGACTTTTAGAACGTTGGTTTTTGTTCGTTCAGATACTCAGAAATAACTTTTCATTGAAATTATGACATTTATTTTTTACTCTTGGAAAAATGCAATTATTCTTTTATTTTCTCAAATTCATACACATAATTTAAAAATATTAAATAACAGTACATATTTGCAATAATAACTAAATTTCCCACGATTAACTACTCGAGGTGGGATCTTTTGCATTTCAAAAAATGGTAAAAAAATGAAGGAGAAAAATAGTGAAAGCATAAATTTATCCTTTGTTTATTTCTTTTATGGAACTTATATTTTATGTCGGAAGATATTTGAAAATTTGTGAGGCCTAGCAAATTCAATTTTAATTAAATTGTGACGTCATATCACTTAATATTCATACGATTGAGTATCCAAGTAGGCTGCTAATATATCTATTTTTTTTATTTTTTTTTTATTATTATTATTATTTTTTTTTTGTATGTTTGATTAACAATAGAAGCAAAAAACAGTTCAAATTCATTGTGTTGTATCTGGTGTATTAAATAGTTTATATACATTATGTATGATGTGCGTATATATTGAGTGTATAAAATTATTAAGGGCTCATTATGTGCTCCACCCCATTACTACATGTATATTAATATCTAGATGCATGAATTTAGTTCGTAAATGGATTTCATAATTTTATATTCACTTTGTACACAATTAATTAACGATTTTACAAGACATTGCCAGATCAGACTTATCCACGTTAAGTAAAAATAATTTATATATCTACAAAAAGGTGAAGTAATTAATTCTCAAAATGAATTGAGTTGGTTCAAATAAAAACTAGTCCTGGTGAGAGAATCGTGAGAAACGAATTTGATAATATTTTTAATTGTGTATGATACTATTTTTACTGTTTCAAGGTGCTACATTTTATTTTCACAAATGTTAATATAAATTGTATTACTATTTTTAATAAAATACGTCATGATTAAAAATAGCATTAAAACACAATCAATTATAGCACTATTTACAATTAAAAATAGTGATTTTCACAGTTCTCACACTAGCATTTGGTTCTCATTTGAACCACATCCATAAATGAATAATAACGTTAGTTTTTGTGTTCCTATCTCGAGTTTGAATGATAATAGTGACTAACGTGTTTTTTTTTTTTTTTCCCTGGAACAATAGAGATATCTATTGATATAAACTCAAATGAAGAACAATGATCTAATATAAACTATACCCACAATTACCAGCAATAACAAACTGGGAGGCACGCAAGAAGCGGCCTAGAACCTCAATACAAATAAAAATAACCATAATCAAAACAATAAAAGAGCTTAGAACCCAGCCACTGCTAAAAAGTCTAACTACAAACTAAACTCAAATCAAAAGAGCACCAAGCATGACTAGCAAAATAGAAAGAAAGAAAGAAACTAAGAAAAAAACTATTGAGCATTGAAGAACACCATCCAATCAGTCTGAGTAGCCTTGATCACTCTTTGCACTGACATCAATGATTTTTGAAAGATCCAAAGATTCTTTGTTTTCGAGAGCCACCAAAGCAAGTAAGTTGTGAGTTGAATTCTATCTTTGGCAATCTCTGTATTTTCAAGGGAACAAACCTGACACCACCAATTCTTGAAAGAGTCATAATAGTTTTGTATACCATCCTATTGCATTTGAGACACTTCCCAAAGTCTAAGGGCTCTGGGCAAGAAAGGAGAACATGTTCTATAGTTTCTAGAGCCTCACCATAGAGTGCACAAGTTGTATCATTGTCAATCTCTCTCTCTGTCTTTTTTTTTTTT